ATTAAAAAAAGTGAATTTTTTCTAAATCTTCTTCGTTTTAAAATTTGAATATCTCAGCTAGAATACAACATAAAACAAATTTTGCTTTTTATCATTCGATAGCCAATTTAATTCTCTACAACCAACATAAGATCAGCTTTTCCCAACATTGCTTCCTTAGTTTGTTATAATGATAAAGATAATGTCCATTCAAATGGACATTGGGCTTTAAAGGGTTAACTTCATTTCGAAGGTCAACGCATGTCCACCATGATACCATTGGAAAAGAAGGGTGAATCATTTTCTAAACCTGTCTAGTTTTTTGTGTCAAAGAATGGAACCGTCGTATCAATGGAATTGTATCCACCGTCAGCCCAGAGCTTTCGTTTTGGCTCGCTTTGTTTTAGAATAAAAGTAGTTTCAAAACTTGAAAGTAAAGAGAAAACGCAAAATGTTTCAAAAATTTCGCCCTTCAAAAAGGCTGTATCCACGCTAGTTTGACGTTAGAGTTTCTCACTTGTTGTATAAGTTAACTAGATTTAATTGTTCAGTATATTTCAATTAGTTGATATAATCAACTATGATCAGAACATTCTCTACTGGTATGCTGCAGTTACTCATTTTATCTTTGTCGCTGATAACATATTTTCATATGTTTTGTTGTACTACACTCTTAGTCATCTTTCTATTTCAAAAGATTAGTTATCTTAGGCCCTTAACAGCTTTTCACCTTAAATTCTATTTTTTCTTATTTGTCAAGTAGAACGAAGAAAAGATAAACATTTAAAAGAATCGAAAGATCAAAGTACGATGTACAGTGACGGCGAGTATATGTTCGTCACCCTACGCTTCTTATTCTTGTTGCTAGTAAACATGTATAGTATAAGCATGATTTTAACCGAGAGCATCAACATTTTCGTTTTATCAACTGTAATCTCTCTTATATACAGAAAAATTCTAATTTTATCCCGAGTCTCACTTTTTTTGAAGTTGATCGAAATTTTGATTTGAATTTTGATTTCGTCCGGACAGAATTGGAGCTCCAGTTTTGTCCACAACGTATATAAATTTATATATCGATATTTTTTTGAAGTTTCTCAATGTTTGCTTAGGTTGACACAAAGAATATCATCTGGTAGTTGATGTTAAGTGGAAATAAGACACGTACAAAAATTTATCGAAAAACTAATTATTCGATGAATTGAGTCACAAACTATATGTCATGAAAAAATTCAGCACAGGAAAAGCATTTTTACATGAAATTGAAGAGCTTTTTTCTTGTTTACAGATACTGTTCTGTCTAACCAGTCGTCGTCTCTATGCTTTAATCACAGGAATATCGATAGTTTCTGTTCGTTCATTTCCTATAGGCTTAACTGTTATTAATTGTTCATTGATAAAATATAAATGACCCGTTTTGCTTTCGATTCGAACAGACATTGAATATCTATCTCTTGCTTCAATTTTGCTTGACGGATATTGCAGTTCAAACTTTATAGGAAATTCGGTCACGATTTGTTCAAGTCTGGCAATAGTAATGCCTGCTGAATCTTGTACTGTTGTATCACGTAGTTCAAGCACGAGAAGGGCATCTGATGGAATGGAAACTTCACCATTGTAAATAACTTGACCACGCAAAACAGTGTCCAATGTTAAACCTTTTAAAAAAACAAATAACAGGTCATTGCCAAAAATTGATGAATGAGACACACACACTTACTTGACAAGGCGGTTAAACTAAATAATAGTAATAAAAGTCCAGTTAAATCAGAAGACATATTAACAATTATTTGCACGACTTATTTTTCACAACTGTGTACTACTGTCAATAGAACTGATGGTTAAATAAAGTATACATATATATATATATATATATATATTATCAGTTTCAAAGAGGAAAGAAGAATCATCCTTCAGTGTAGTAATGGTGTCATATTTCTTTTTTATTTGCACAAAAGCAAATGGATAGAGTAGGATGG